TTCCCTTGTACTTTTTCTTGTAATTTTTTTTGTATTTGTACCTTTCCAGTTTTTAACTGAGCTATCATCAAGTTCCTGCAGAGTACTTGCTTCTGACAACACCTGATCACTAATTAAATCCTCTGCATGAGTTTTCTGGGACCACCTATGTAGGAAGATATAGGACTGCAAATCTTCACAAAGGCCAAACAATTATTACAAATTCTTTTTTTTTTTTTTGTCCTTTTTGAGACTGGCCGCACCGCGCTCAGCCAGTGAGTGCACTGGCCATCCCTATGTAGGATCCCTTACAAATTCTAAGGGGAGAATATCCTCCTGCCATATAGCACCAAGATTCAAGATAGGCAAACTCTTAATTGTGTTAGGGATGGGTTTCTCTTATTTGACACCATTTGTTGGGTGCATCCTGGGCTTTGCCAGGGCCATAAAAATTTAAGCTGAAGTTCACTTGGTATTTCAAGTGCTCTCAAGATGACAGCTGGCTTCTGGGTATGTTCCACTTCCTCTTTGGGTTCCAGGTTTCAGTTTGGTTTTTGGCCTAAGAGTACTCCTTAATAGGTCATTGACACTTTTTTTTTTTAAGTTTTTTCCCTAGCCAAGTTTTGTTTTCCACAAGATTGGTCAGGGTTATTATCCATACTGACAGAAATTACAATGTCCACTTACCCACTGTTGTGGTATTTTACTTTTCTATGGTGTATTGCAGTTTTTGTATTTTTGGAATTAGAAATAAAAGTACTTTTGGCAGACTACCGAGCTCAGCCATTTCTGTATTAGATATCTGACCACTCACAATGTGGCAAGCAGTCGATGAACACAATAGAACAAAATAAGCAAAAGCCCTGTTCTCACAGAGCTTATATTCTGAGGTAGGGTTGAGGGGGAAACCAAACGATATTACATGTGAGGTGGATAATAAACATGCCATGATGCACTCTATTGTGATGGTGCTATGTTGATATGTTATATAGGATAGTCAAGAAAAACCACTGATAAGGTGACATTTGAACAAAGGCCTACAGTTAGAGAAGAGAAAGCCATATGGTATATGGGCTAAGATCACCTTCAGCTAAGGTAAAAAAGAAAAACATCTTCGTGGGGAAGAAAGTCCATTGTGTTCAAGTTTCAGCAGAGGCCTGTATGAACTGAGTGAGCTAGGATTGTGGTGGGGCAAATGACTACATGTGAAGTAGAAATAAGGGAAAAAGTCACTTTTAACCTAGATTCCTTAATGTTTTGGCTTTAACTCTGAATGAGATGGGAAACTATTAGGAGGTTCAGAGGAAAACCATGACTTGATCTTATGTAGTTTAAAAGGGTTACATATCAGGTGCTGGGTGTGGAATACACCAGTTTAAAAGGGTTACATATCAGGTGCTGTGAGTCAGGAAACAGGAAGACCACTCAGGGATCTTCTGCAATAATCCAAATAAGAGATGAAGCATCAGACCATGGTGACAGCAGTGAATATAGTGAATAGGCAGGTTCTGAATAAATTTAAGGTAGAACTGAGAGGAATAATGTTTAAGTCTGATAAGAAGTGGAGTGAAGAAGTCAAAGTTGATGCCTAGGTTTTGGGCCAGTGCTGCTGAAAGAATTTTACAACTACTGAGGCTAAGAAGAGGTAAAAGAGTGTGTGTAGAAATCTGGCCACTTTTGGACCTTTTAAAGACAGCTACTAGACAGCCAAGTAGACAATGAATAGAAAATTATACAGAAGTTCAGGAGAAATGGAAGATCAGCAAATGATTGTTTTCCTAAGCAACTAGGGTATGGAAGTACTTCATTGCCTTGACACTATTCAAATTTGATATGGTAAGCAAGGAATCAAGAAGTTATGTGGAAGCTCAGTCAATGGTATGTGAAATGAAAATTTTGTATCATCTTTCACTACACAGAAAAAAATTAAAGAGTGCTCTTAAAATAGTCTCATTTAGAAATAGCAAGGTCAAGGGTTTAGATCCCCTTACCCAGCCACCAAAAAAAAAAAAAAAAAAAGAAAAAAAGAAATAGCATACAACTTAGGAAGAGACCATTGGCAAGGGGACCTTAATTAAAACATATTCCAAGTAAAAGTACAATTATCGAACACATCATCAAACTTAGTTAATCGTAAAAAACTCTTCAAAAATGAGGCCACGGAAGAGTGTTACAAGGTAGCAGGAAACACTGCGAAGTGATAATACTGAGGACTTAAAATAGTCCACTTCATTCTTCCTAGCTTTTCTAGACAGCTCTAATTTTGATCTCTAACATGGTCCACCGTAACTTTTTGTTGGCTGTCATGTTTTAAAGCCCTGTTACCAAGTAACTTTACCATTTTATCTATTACACTGTGAGAGCACAAGCAGTTTTAGTAGCTTCCTTAGGTGCATTTAATGTCTGCCAAATTCAAACACTGCAAAAATCCTTAACATGACATCTTCATTTCCACCAAAGGGGGAAAAAGTTACCTACTACAAGACCACAGAACGGATCTAGGTTCAAGTCTTTGTCCAGCTACCTAGTACAACACATAGCAGGTAGACCTTTGTACCTGGTTACTCTTTTTAATACCTGACCATTAGTTTAATCAAAATACATTAGAAATAACGTTGGATCTTATTTATAAATTTGAATGTCATTAGACTGCTGTTATACAAATTAGTTGTAGAATATTAATACATCAATATTCCAAGGGTAAACGTGGAAATCAACCTACAATATTACAGTCCAAAGTACTATGAATCTGCCAGGTACTAAATAGAAATTTAGTACTTAGGCACAGAAAACATGTTCTCTAAAGCCACAAATGACCAAGAGTTGAAAACTATAGGGTCAAGGGATTACCAGCTACAGTCTGTTACAAAGGAACTCAGAAAGACTTCCCAAAATGGTTCTCAATATTTAGCATGCATCAGAATCACTTGGAGGGCTTTTTAAATACAGGCTACTGGGCTCCACCCTAGTTTAATCCAATACTACTGGGGCGGGGCCTGATAACTTGTACTTTAAGAGAATTTCCCAAATAATGCTATTATTGGTCTCAGTCACATATTGAGTACCATCATCCTAATTCTTCATAGACCATAGTTTCTTTTGTAACTACCTTTTAAGTTCAAAATCAAGCTCACATACAGTACTAAGTTCAAATATGGACTTCATGTCAGCTGGAATTACCAAGTAAGACCAAAGTGTCTTTAAACACAGACTTTAATGGTAACAATTCCTTTAAGCTCAATTAACTTCAGCTATTACAAGTCTTAAGTAAATGTCACTGTTAGACAATATTTAGTGACTTGCACTGGCTTCCTCATAAAACAGAACAATCATTTAACAGTTTTGTTATGCCGAGACAAAACATGGCTAATTTGAGTCACCCCCCATCACTAACAGTATGACTAGTATCTTATGTATACTTCAACTAAGTCATTGAAAAAAAAAAGTGAGTGTTTCACTAACCCTGAGACCACTAGTTAACTGTGGTTCATACTTTTAAAATGTGAGTACACCCACACAAGAAAGAAAACATTTCATTTTAATGCATTTAAAGAAAAAAAATCTGATTATCACATTGCAAACTTTCCCAAGAAAAAGTCACTTAAATTTACCATTAACAGGCCAACTGGACTCCACTTCTTACAGGTAAAGAGAACCTTAATTTAAAATTTACGCAATAAAAGATATAGAAAATACAACAAGACAAAAAAACAGTTCTTAATCTGCATATATTCACTTCAGTACTACGCATGGCACTACTCAAATTACTGAGCAGGGTGGGGGAAGAGGGCAAATTCAGATTTTTGGATTCTTTTGAAAGTTTCATTTCATTGTAGCTGACCTCAAGTCCAGTGTCAATACATTCAAAAATGTTGGTCTTCCAGGTATTTGATATTAGTTATACCTGGAGAAGCCTCTATGGCTTATTCCCTTAAAAGTGACATATGAAACGTCTAAAGCATCAAGTCATAAAGAGAACTGGACACATTACTAATTATGACAACCAATGGTTTAATTATGTTCTCTGAATACCTAAAGGTTGTGTAAGGCTAAAAATGTCAATTTGAAAGCCAAATAAGGATCTACTGTGTATTATTGAAAGTGTGTTTTATTCATGTTTGGCTTTGAGGAAATATGTCTACTAAAGCTATTATCTTGAGAGTATAGACTTATTATTTTGAAAATAGAGTCAAAGGGCAGTATTTCTTACCTTGTGGGGCAGTATGTTTTTAACTTCTCATTCATAATTTGAATACAAAAAAGTTTTAACAGTATCACATCTACCTTGAAGAAGTTGTTATACTTTAAGCAAAAGATAAAATGAAAAAATTCACTCATTGGAAAAACTGTACTGGATTGATACTTCCCAAGAAAACACTTATTAAAAAATTAACAAAGCCTGGGCCGGCCCGGTGGCGCACTGGATAAGTGCGCAGCTTGGTAAGCGTGGCGGCTCTCCCGCCCGAGGGTTCGGATCCCACATGCAGACCGGTTCCCGCTCACTGGCTGAGCGAGGCCCAGGGGCAACGCCGAGGGTTTCAATCCCATTGCCGGTCCCCGGTCCGGTACAGGGGCAACACTGAGGGTTGCGATCCGTTGCCAGACACGGAAAAAGACAAAAGACAAAAGACAAAAAAAAAAAAAAATATTAACAAAGCCAGAACATCTTTGGAAGGCATGCTTTCCACTTCCAGTTTAGAGAAGAACCTTAAGTCAATAAATCATGTCCAAACTACATATTAAAATGTTTATAAAAATTAAGTTTTAACATTTATTTCTAGCTTTCCATATCTGTGCAGACAAGGAGTAAGACTGCACATAAATTAAGCGGTGCAAAATTGTGAAACCAGAGAAGTCACAGATGTGCTAGAAATGGAATACAGGACTTTAAGAAATAAAACGGACAACTCAAACTAGGGAAAAAAACCTACAGGTTCAGAATTAGGAAAGGTGAGGAATGGTAATGCCCTTGTTACTACAAAAGTTAAATTAGTGGCACAGATAGCACTTGTCAAACAAAATAATCCAATAGCATTGACTTTTATTCATTCATGTTAAGTCACCTGAAATGATATCTGTTGCATTTAAATGCTCATTAATGTAAATGGCTGAACAAATCCATTTCAATGGATACTCAATATCCCACAGTTAAGTCACTTCAACACAGCCTCATGACAACTCCCACACCAAAACAGTACTTTATTGTGTAAATTTTGACCCATTATTACTCCCATGTTATGTTTTTTTCAGCTGTCAAGTGTACAAGGTGAAGAGAAATTTTAGTTAGACGGAGAGGGGGACTGCACCTGGAAAATAAATTTTTAAAACTCCATTAAACTCCGTATACACATTTCGACACTGCTGGGTCCCAAGTCCATCTATAAACTCCAGGGCTGCAAGTATCATGTGCAGCATATTAAAGCTACACTATCCAAATAGCTTATTAATTCTGCATAAGTCAGGTCAAGCAATGTGTCAACCTGTAACAGACTGTGCACTTCAACTGAACATGGCAAAATATTCACTCTCTGAACTTTTTACATCATCATTTGATGTCAAACAATGAAGCAAATCCCAACAGTATATACAAAAACAGCTTTGCATTTACAAAAGATTGTTTCCCATACTGATTAATCCAGGCAGCTAACTCATTGGTTTATGCAACTTTATTGAAGAAAAATAAATCAATTACTAGCAGAGCTATTAGTTGATCACTCATCCATTGACAACTTGCATCATTTATTCAGTGCTATATTAAACAGTGTATTGGAAGATAGATTAACTAATAGCTCCAAGCCTCCTAACAATTTAAATGAAAATTACAAAATGTTTGAGACCCTATTTTGGAATACAAAGGGTGTTTGACTTCCAATTTCCATTCTCTGTAGAACAAGAACAGGTCATTCCTTTATTGACATGCATAAAATACATCACATTTTCTGTTCTGCTGATGCTATAAATTCAATACCAATTCTCCAGCCACATGAGTTATGAGCATAAAGTATATCATGTAACCTCAAATCTCTAACAGTGGAAGGATTAAACAAGAATGGATGCTGCTAGAATAATGCTGCTTCCTTTGATGTGATAAGCATCCATCTCCCTCCCCCCCTCAGATGATTTCTTCAGCATGTTAGAGCAGTGAGGAATGGTTTTAGTCTCATAACCAAGTTAGAGTGAAGACATTGGCCACATAATACACATGCTCCATTTTTAAAAAAATTCTGAATCTTGGGCAACTGTTCTCTTGTAACTACTTTACAGTTTCTAAAAGCAGTTATTGTCCAAAGCTGGAAGAACTTAAGTCTTCTCAGATGAGCATGTGAATGAATGGAGGGAGGTAAACAAAAAATAAAATTAAAAAAGATGAGGTCTGATAGGGGAGCAGCCGGATAAGAAAATCAAAAAGGAACAGTAATTTAAAGTTTATTCCAGCTATAATGCAGGTTATTCTGACTTTAAGGTAGCATCACATGGCATACTTCTGAGTCCATTCCCGAGATATTCTGTTGTACCTGTAAATAAAGATAATGTTATTTAAAAAGCAAAATTAAAGTAAAAGAATTCTTAATACTTTAAATGGAAGGAAAAGATTTCTATTTTACCTCCATACTCATCATGAAGTAATCTCTAACGGCTTTGATTAGAATAAAAGCCAAGGGAGAAACAGCAATGGTGCTCAAAGGAATGTGGGAAATGAGAGCCTTATTCTTTGAAAACAGTATTATTTACATAAACAAGAAAAGTGGCACCGAGACTGGGAGGCTAACAAAAATCAAAAGCCTTCTCTCTCAACCACCAAGCTAATGTTCTATTAGAAACTCTAAAATCAGTGTTCGTTCTGACAAATTTTTACAATAAAAGTTTTTACAATTCCTTATGGACATTTGTTAGACAATGATATACACATCCTGTACATCTATAGAAATTTCCATCAAAACCATAACCAAACATTTACTGAAAGGCTTATCTGCATCTTAGGCTTTGAAAAGTTACTTGGCCTGGATATTACCAGAAAGGAAAATGCCTTTGAGACTTGGGCAGGGACAGAAGAATAAGACATTGAGAAGGGTAATAGAGTAGTAATTTTCAAGAGGGGGTGGGCATAAGTGGTTGGGTGTGTTAATCAGAACCACGTGTTATTTTAAAAATTGTGATGACTGGGGCTAATAAGTACTGAGACCTGCTGAATGGGAATCTCCAGGAATACAACCAGGACATCTTTGTTTAAAAAGATCAACAGGTAATTCACGCACGAGCATGATCATTACTGAGGAATATCAATAATCACAAATACTATCAGCTTCTCCCTGGATTACACCTTATGCCATAGGCTACTTACACTTACCGCCAACAAAAATACAGCGATAACCTTAAGAAATGAATATATATCAAAGGGTACGGGAGAACTTTTAGATTTATATTCACAGTCTGAACTTTAAAAAATATAAACTAGCTTCATTTCAAACCAAGAATTAAATATGGTTCGACTACTTTTCTTAACTTTAAAATATAGAGGTTCTTTCTACAATTCATGATTATCTCATTTAAGGATACCCTCTCAAAAAGCCAGCACATTAAAACAAAGGCTTTATTTAGCATACAGGGAGCCACAAAGTATAGCTGACACTATATGCATGCTAGTCAGTAATGAACATTTAGTTTAGACACTTAGGCTTAAAAGTGTTTTTCTCTTACATTACTACCTCCTGGCAAAATTTGAACTAAATCACCACATTCCATACAGTATTGGTACAAAGTCTTAAGCTGAAATTTAAACACCATGGTAATCCGAAAAAGATACCACTTAAATTTCTATTTCTTACTAGTGCTATATAACTGCTTTGCCATGCAAGAATACTTTCAAGCAATAATGACTACTGGGTATACTTTCACGCTAAACAGAGCAAGCAGTTAAATGTACAGTTTTCAGAAAACTGTCACATCAGTTACCTTTTGTTAGTTAATACAGTGCCTTTAAGCATGCAGCACAAGTGCTGGCAGTACCATGAATAAGCGCACCATAGTGTGCAGATCCTCTTACCCTACAACATAGCGTATTTCTCTGTCCACTCTCTTGCTAACCTATTGTACCTAATTGAACAAGTATACTTAGCATTAATTATGACATACAAAAGTTATAATGGTTAAGTTGAACATAAAGACAATTCAAATATTTGAGAAATGTACACTGAATTTTTATAACAGTATTAATATTTTTCAGAAAAATATATTTGGGGTAAAAAAAAAATTTGCTTTCCTAAAACTTGAGATCAAGTGACAAATTTTTCTAACATGTTAAACAAACAAAACTTTTTCAAGGGCTATTTACTGTCACATAAGCTAAAATCTAGTAATTAAAAAAAAAAAAAAACAAAAAAATGATGACATTTCAATAACTAGCTTTCTGCACATTTTAACTATTAACTTACCAGAAATAAGCATCAGGTTGTCTTGTCATTGCCACAACCACAGCAGAGCATAAGCTTAATTCATCAAGTAAAACCATTTTTTATAGTATTTCCTTAAACTATTACATACTTACTTATCTCTGTCTGTTTTATAGATCCGTGCAATCTCTGGCACTAGGGGGTCATCGGGGTTTGGATCACATAGCAATGAACAAATGGATAAAAGAACTGCAACAAAAACAAACGTCTGTTACCCAGCATCAGGAGTTTGGATAAATGTCAAGAGTATTTAAAAACATGTATTACAAAATTCAATCCTCAAAAGATTTTTATTAGTTGGGGAGACTTCCTTTAGGATTTAGGGGGGAATAAGATTTTTATTAGTTTGTACCTTAATCTCAATGAGTCATATTTTAGAGCTTTTGTTTCACAGAAGACAAGTTCCTGGTAAATGAGGAGTGTTAAAATTAGAGATTTGTTGGCATCCAATTCAGCACTACCTACCTATAAAAACACGGCCAAAGTCAGGAGTAAGAAAGTCAAATGATGCCGTAAGTTTATTTTTTTAAAAGTGGGTATAAGTGGCATTAGAATTAAAGTTTCTTGGTAGTAAAAGGAAAGAAAAAACTTTAGCAAAAATATTTAGGCAACACCCATCCCATATTATTCTTAGCTATTAGGCATGGCTTAAAAAAATACATTCTTTGCCCTGCATTAAGGGAGTTTCCACAAAATGTTTTGTCTCCCTGAATTACCCTGACTGGTTTAACTTAGAAGATTTCAAGCATCATGGAATATAGATCTCATTCATTTTAAGTGCCAGTTATATGCCAGTCACCATACAAGATTTTAAGATAGTAATTTTAAGATATAAATGCTTAAAGTGGTTGTGACAATCAAAGGATGAAAAAAACCCCAGAAAGCAATAGCATAAAAAAAGACAACATTAACTATCACATAAGCTAAATATGAGTACGAACCACATACATTATGGTAGTTGGAGCAATAGGCTATACCATTTAGCCTAGCAGTGTAGTAGGGGGTTTGTGTAAGTACTCTATGATGTATGCATACAGTGAAATAGCCTAAGAGGCATTTCTCACCATATATCCCATTGTTAAGCAATGCATGACTATATATCTGTTGACAGCAGCAAATAAAATTTCAAACACAAATACAGAAGGCAAATATAAAATTACAGAATAAAGGAGATCTGAATACACACAGTAACATAACAGAAAAAGGTAGGGAGCTTTAGTTGTGACTCCTGGTTTAATAAGTTAGCAAAATACGGCTGCCAAAAAAGCAAGCTACTTTAAAAACAAAACACCATCAACTCAACCTGCATTTACAGAAAGTTTTCAGTATTATAGTGCATACCCAGTAATATTTTTAAAAAATTTAGAATCTGGCATGCAGATATGAGAGCATAATTTGAAAAGAAATCAGAATGCATTGAAAGAGGGTAAAAAACAGGTCTAAAATTTTAAAACACTTTAAAGAATTATGGCAGCATTTGCCCAAATTGTTTTTCTTTCTCTCCCTGCCCCCCAAAAGTGACTGCAGTTAAATAAGTCTGAGAAATGCTATACAGTCCCTCTATGACATTCAAATGCATTGTGTGAGCATATGAAAGCTTTTATTTGATGTCCTGCCTTAAAAAAGCTGTTTCACTTTGCATTTACCAATCTCAAAAAACACTTTTTGGTAAAATACTGTTAATTTTTCCAAGAAACAGTTTGGGAAATGCTGTACTTAAGTACTGAGACAGAAGACAATGCTTACAGTTAAAATGCACTACCCTCAATATCTGAAACACTGTCATAATTAGCAACATTAAAAACCCAATTCTATGTACCTAAGGAATGTTAAACCAATACCCAAAACTGAGAATTACTAAAATTCAGACTTTCTTCCCATTATGTAGTTTTGTGTATGACTTTACTTGTGGGGTGAAAGTGACACAAAAGTCAGAGTCATTCAAAAAGGAGAAAGTGATAGAGAAAAACTCCATCTCCATCTGGGGAATTCATGCAGATAACAGATAACTCATCACATAATGGATTCCTACTAAAAGCAGCAGACCCAAATCAGTCTAGAGACCTTTCTAAGATTCTTTCATTTTAAATTGTTATCAGGCAGAAATAACCTACCATGGCTACATAACACTTGACTAAAGATTTATCTAAAAATAAACACAGGAAAGCAAAATCAAAATTTTCTTAAGAGTGGAAATTTCAAGATGTAAAAGCTCTAGTAAATTTAGGTACATTACAACACTATTCTTCTTTAAAAGGCAACAAATAATTGAGTATGAGATGTACAAGTGGTTTGGGATTGAAAAATACAAAAATCTTTTTTTTTTTTTTAAATTTTTTTAATTCCTTTTTTTTGTCTTTTTTACTGACCGGTAACGGGATCGCAACCCTCGCGCCCGTACCGGGGACCGGCAACGGGATCACAACCCTCGGTGGGAGCGCCGCTGTGCTTCCAAGCAGCGCACTCTCCAGTGCGCCACCAGGCCAGCCCCCAAAATCTTATCTAAATAAAATTTGCTATTACATAATGAAGATAACTCATTAGGCAAATAATGTCCCCTCAACATGCAACGTGAATTTTAGCTTCACACAGAATCTTATTAATACTGCCAAAAGAGCAAAAATAACATTCCTTCTCCACTCATACCAAAAAGTTAGAATAGTACAAATAAAGATTCAGGTAAGCAAATCCAAGAATGAAACTCCTAAGTATTAGACAATCAAGGCAGCTCAATACTGTTTCACAAAAAGTATTTTACCTTTAGAAATAGTTAAAGCAGGAGACCACTGTGATCTTAGAATATCGAGACAAATGCTGCCATTACTGTTAATATTTGGATGATAAATTCTTGTTGTAAATGCAACCTAAAATAAATAAAACCTTTAGATGTTTTACACAAATAAAAACAAGCATCCTAAACTTAAGTAAAAAACTTATAGCAAAGCTTAAAATATTAAGTCACACACACACAAAAATCAAATCACTGAAACCTAATTTATACACATAGAAGTACCAAAAACTACGGAAATTTGTTTTTACATTTTGATCATGATCCCCCTGAGGGCTCCCTCTTTTTAATTAAAATGAAATTTTAGGGGCAAAAATTTCATTACTGATATGGTGGAAAGTTCTGAAGGTTAACTTTGGTACTACCCTATCATGAGCACCAAAGAGCAATCTGAATGGTATTTAACACATTAATAATAAACAAGGAACTTTTGGACATAAACGAAATTTGTAGACCAGCTCATTTAAAGTTTGAGTTACACAGTATGTATGAGTCTGCACTTCCAATGTACATAAAACAAACTTGAATATCAAAAGTGTTCCGACTAAAGGAACCCATCACACTGCACCTATAACATAAAGACGGTTATAATGAAGTGTCAATGTCCCATGTACATTATCTTCTAGGTATTCACATAGGTTCAATTTATGTTAATGGCTCTGAAAGTCAAGAAATATAGGCTTTTAATAACTATAAACCAGACACCTCAGTGCACTAAGCTACTTTAAGTTTTGATAAATTTACAGTTTTGTATGCAAACCAAAAATGATTATAGTCTATCTAAACTGCAGAGTGTAAGTTGTACAAGCAATATGTGGAAATGTATACTAAAGTTGAACATTTGATGCCTACTGTTACAAGACAAATAGGGTCAATAATCCAAATTTGTGTAAGAATAAAGGGAAAACAAAAAGTTCCCACATGGTATATTTGAGCCTTGCAACATTAAAGACAAAGCAAATCATGTCTCCATTTATAAAGTTCTAATCCAGGTCTAGCTCTTTTAACAGGGTAAGGGTCAGCATCTATATATCAGTAACTCAATTCAATATATATTCAGTCTCACTATTCTTACTCGTCATATATACAAATTTAGCCTCAATTATGCAGAACCCTAATTTCTGAGAATACTCTATTCCTCTGAAATAAAGCATAAATCTATACTAACAGATTTTGGGAGAAAATACTTGCCTTAGGTGGTTTGAAGGGGTAGTCTGTAGGAAAATGAATTGTCAAAAAGAATACACCGCCTTGATATGGGCTGTCATTCTGTGAAAAGAAAAATATGCTTAACTCTGATATTTAAAATATTATTGCTAAATAATCTACATAACATTTCTACTTTAAGCATTTCTAACAAACCAAAATTACCTACTATATACATGACAATAAAGAATCTAAATTATTTCAAGAAAATTTGGTTCATATTAATGGAAAAAACACAATAAAAATGTACTATACGTTAATGAATCCTAATTTACTTAGATCTAATTTCATACAAGTCAAAGAGTTTTTGAAAAATTACCTAGAGAGCTTTAAAAAAAAAAAGTGTTGAACTTTTAGAAGTAGAGAGTAAAACTGTGGTTACCAGAGGCTGGGAAGGGGAAGGGGGATAGTGAGAGGTTGGTTAATAAACACAAAATTATATCTAGATAGGAAAAATAAGTTCTAGTGGTGTACAGTAGTGCTAGGCATCTATAATAATTTATTGTATGTTCTGAAATGGCTAGAAAAGAGGAGCTCAAATGTTCTCATCACAAGGAAACGATAAATTTTTGCAATGATGAATTTGCTAACTACCCTAATTTCATCATTATACATTGTATGCATGTATTAAAATATAATTTTGTACCCCATAAACACATATAACCAATACATTTCAATTAGGAAAATTTCTGGAAAAAAATTTACCCATTAACAAGTGTTCTAAATCCCTATTCTCACAAACGAAAAAGTATACCTAGCAATAAACCCTACATATAATATTATGTATCAGACTATAATTTGGGCTGGCTGGTTAGCTCATTTGGTTAGAGTGTGGTGCTGATAACATCAAGGTTCCAGGGTTTGATCCCTGTATCAGCCAGCCACGCCAAAACAAAACAAGATAAAAAAACCCCAAAAGACTATAATTTGACAATAACATTTTACACATGTAGAAATATTACTTCTAACAACAGCCAGTTATGTGAAATGGCTTTGCATCTCAACACAACAGGCCACTTTGCCCACAGGCAAACCAAAATATTAGCTATGCTAGGTTAACACACAACTACCTTCAAAAGCAGAACAGAATGAACAAAATAGGTATTTGAATTCCCAACATGCTTCTCAAAATTCTAATTTAAAACCACGAAATGTTTTCTTCAAAAGCATACTGAATTCTTCATAGCAAGTCAGCACAAACACAGATTACTAGAATTGGAAAACAATATAGAATGTTTTTCCATTTCAACAGAAAAAATAAGCTTAAGCTATAATGGAACTTTCTCTTTTACTGGTTTGCTCATTATAATTTGAGTATAAAGAACTCTTAGTAAATAAGTATTATACAATGTTAGTATATAAACTAATGTTATTTATACCTAGTATATAAACTAACATTTGAGAAAAACCACTTGCTAAGAGCTTTTTATCTTAATTTAACCAGAATATAGATCACTGGTCCTATTTTATGGATGAATAAAATGGGACTTAAAAGTAACACAGTCTAACATATAAATAGTAAACAATAGAAGGAAGATTCAAACACAAGCCTTCTGAAGACGACTTAAGACGACACTAATCAAAAAGCAATAAACAAAAGAAACTGACATAATCAAGGATTAAGCTAAAAATACGAAATTGCCAAATTGCTTCTGGATATGAAAAGACCCAATCTGAAGACATGTTTTAGTCCATTCTCAATGTCAGGCAAAAAAACCCAAAACAAACAAAAAAAAAACACACCAACTTTCACAGGCTTGACATTTTAATATAGCTCATTTCAACCCCACCCTTCTGTAAAATAACTAAACATTAGTCCAATTAATCTAACTCCCTACCATATACTAGGTATGTAAGGGACTCAGAGGCCAACTTTTTTATCTCAGGACTTACACTCTGTTGGTAGAGACATGTAAAGTAAATGCAATGAAATGTTACAGATATTATAAAAAATAAAGCACAAATGGGGTTCAAAGAAGAAAGGTCAATTTATTGATGAAGGATCACATTCAAAGAAACATATAAGTAATGGAAGAGTTACTATTTAAATTGAATCCTTCCAACTCTTAAATATCTCTTTTTTCATATTTTCTACAAAATTTTAGTTAAAAAACCTGAGACTGCAAAGAAGCATCTGAGAACTATAGAAAAAACAAATCAAAACAGGGCACCAGAATGTGATTTGAGTTCATGAGATTTACATGTGATCCGAAGTTCATTACATTAATGTATCTTTGTTAAATAATACCGCTACACAAACTGGGAATAGATGCTTCAAATAGCATATACTTTTATATTAAACAGATACTATAGAAGATATGTTTTCATTGTGTACAATTAGCAATTTAAGAATAATCCCAAATGTTAAGTTTTTATACCAATTCCAGAAGTTCTGTTTAAGCTTCAATTCCAAGTTTTGACAGTAAAGTGCTATGTGTGACTGCTTCTGAATAAAGGCAATCCACTGATGAGATTTAAGCGAAGCCAAATTTCAATTCATTTGCTCAAAAGACAAAACAAAGCCAAAAAAAAAAAAAAAAAAAAAGTAAGGGGTGTAATATTTCAACCTTATGATTTAACTCTGCAATTCTACCATATCAAAGAGGTAAAAACTATAAAATTTAGAGGCAATGGAACTAGCTCACATACAAAGTTTATGCTCTATGGTACCGTTTTACTTACAAATCGGCAACAAACAGAAACTACACCAAAATAGACAAATAAGAAATACTTTGATCAACAAATTGACTCGAATCTTAAGAAATCCAAAATTTATGTTGGATCTCTTCTTAAGAAACATTCTGGGGCTGGCCCGTGGCTCACTCGGGAGAGTGTGGTGCTGATAACGCCAAGGCCACGGGTTCGGATCCCATATAGGGATGGCCGGTTGGCTCACTGGTTGAGCGTGGTGCTGACAACACCAAGTCAAGGGTTAAGATCCCCTTACCGGTCATCTTTTAAGAAAAAAAAAAAAAGAAACATTCTACCTTGGTTTTGTTCCCATAAGTCCTAGCTGCTCCTGCTCAGTGCCTGCACTTCTCTGTGGCAACCATAAACATGTTGGTATTCCTACAGATCCATTTTCTGCTTCTGCTTCTAACTCCTGCCCCATGTATACTCTACAAACTCTCAAATTTCTCTCTCTAGTGTATTCATTCTTGGGACTACATTCAAATGCCTACTGAATATTTCTACTTTGGATATCTTATCTCCTCTGTTCAAAACTCAAACTCCTGGTCTCCTCAATCCCATTTTTTCCTGTTTATCAATAGTAAACCATAATAGAAAGCCATAAACTAGGATCTCATTGTTGGTTCTTCCTCTCTCATCTCCTCAGAGTTGTTAGCATATCTTAAGGATCTTTAAAATTTCTTGAATTAGCCTCTCCCTTCGTGCTCACTGCCACTTTCTTACTATCTTTTGCCATCATTATGGCAATGGTTTCACTCCGGTGTTCCCTTCCAATTTATCCCTGAAGTGGTCTTAAGATACAAGTTACTCCCCTGCTTGAAATCTCCATAGCTCTTAAGATAAAATTCAAAATCTAAGTACAAAGGGTACATTATGATCTGAGTTCCCACCAATTCAGTTATTTTCAACTTCTACTTCTTGTCCAGAACGCGCTCTTTAGGTTCACACCTCCTTTTTCTATTTTTTTTTCCCTACTTGGGATATTCTTTCTTATAATACAGCCCTCCCTTTAGCACAATCTCCTGGAGGCCCTTCTATTATACCTCTTTATGTACATTGCCCACTGTATTTGTAACATTTACTTATATTTCCCTCTTCCTCTATATCACAAAGCTCCTTAAACAGTAACACAAACAGGGAAAAACATTTTCTTGTATCGTAGCCTTTGTAGGAAATGACATAATACACTTATTTTAGGTTGAAAAAATAACCCTTATAAACCCATAAAATAACACCTCCATAGGTAAAGAGGTTAATTTCCTCTCACTGCCATCACTTCTCATTGGGAACTACCCTTAGTATATTACCCAAAACACAAATTTTTAGAAAGCTACTTAATTAGCAAACTGCTCTGTCAATTATTTCAAAGTGCTTCCAAAGTATCTTATCTTCATAAATAAGCTAGCACACACGGCTATTAAAACCAAGCATTTCTGCTGCATAACTTCAATGATAATAGCATCTCTCAACTACAACTCATTGAGTTACTCTTTACTGAAACTCAAACTAGACTCTACACAATCCTTAGAAAGTCAGGAATCTTTAGCTCTGTGACACTGTCATCACTTAACTGACGTAAGTACTCCAAAGCAAAAATAATTTTGCTACCATCTGGTTCTCCTAGCAAATCTGCAATTTATGAGTTGTTATGCTACCACTGGCCCTTTGTTTTGGGTCATGCCACACAGGGTAACCGTACTCACAAAATAAGCTTTTATCGTATCATACTATTGATGTTTTGTCACAAAGATGCATTCAGAAGCCAAAAGAACATGAACTGTTTCACTGAAGCACTCTGCAGTAAACATATAGTTAACTCTTTAAAGTCGGCATCTAAATTTAAGTGCTTACTTAGAAGACAGTAAAATCTATACTTGGGTACATTTTTATAACCTTTGACTCCTTCCCGAAATTATCTAACCAATAATAGTTAAAATTAACCTTTTTAGCTGAAGATAAATACATCTCATGGCCTGTTAGCTCAGTTGGTTAGAGTGTGGTGTTTGTAACACCAAGGTTCAGGATTTGATCTCTGTACTGGTCAGCAGCCAAAACAATAAATACATTTCAGGGAATAATGCTACCAAGGCCAAACTCTGCAATTACGGTATAAATTTATTTTTTGCTTTTGTTTATCGAGGAATATTTAAATAGTACTGAAAATCAAATATTTGTTTTTAAAAGCAGAAAAACTCCTACTCATTAATATACATTAAAAGGTTGCTGAGGGGCTGGCCAGTTAGCTCAGTTGGTTAGAGCATGGCCTTGTAACAACCAAGGTCAAAGGTTTGGATCCAAGTGCCAGTCTGCCACCAAAAAACCCCAAAACCAAAACAAAAGGTTGTTGAAAAAAAATTAGCAAGAACAGCCATTATCTGAAATATCTATGAAATAAATGAAAAAATAAATGTTTTCTGAGAAAAGCAAATTAAGTAAACTACTAAAAAATTTGTCAAGATAAGCAACTTTCATTCTTCTATTCTCCGGAAAGCTACTAGCATATACTCCTCATTCACGCTTCACTTTGATTTACTATAGGTATATTCCTTACCTTTTGGAAAGGAGTAACATTGTTCAAAATAGTGAATTCTCAAAAATTGAGCAGGGAGTGGGGGGAGGAGATCACACTGGTTTTAGAGTTGGTTTATTCTGTATATCATCCAATTAGAAGTCTGTGAATTCTCAAAAATTGAGCAGGGAGTGGGGGAAGGAGATCACACTGGTTTTAGAGTTGGTTTATTCTGTACATCATCCAATTAGAAGTCTTGATTACTAACCCCTGTGTACTTTCTTAGTACTGACAATTTTATAAGACTATCCTAAAGTACTCTCTGAATCAAAGATGAGCTTTATTTCACTGACTTCTTTGCTTTGAAAATTGGTAACTGACAAGGGAAAAATTCTAGAAGTCGCAAAAAAGCAACTGTTTACAAAATCCAGGTAAGCAGCTGGCTGGTTAGCTCAGTTGGTTAGAGCTGGGTGTTGATAATACCAAGGTCAAGCATTTGGATCCCTGAACTATTGCCAAGAAAGAAAGAAAGAAAGAAAAGTATCAATCTAGGTAGACTATTATGAAGTGGACCTGGCAGAACCTATAGGAGATACAGCCCATCTAAAAATGAAAGGCAGCTGTTACTCCATACCAACTCATTGTACTTGTGGAATAAGGGCCCAGTAAGAGGAATTTACCCCTTGGACTGCCAACTTTTAAAACATTGTGGGTGCCACACTGGGAAAGTCATCACTTAACTATGAATATTAAAAATATAGTTTTGTTACCAAATTAAACAATAGAAAGCACTTTCAAGGCAAAATAAAACTTAAAACAGTAAAAATGGTCCTTGAGATAAAATGCACAATCCTGGCTTTGTAGTTTTTTTAATTAGATAATCCAGTATATTACAAAGTATTAAACTTATCTGCCCCCTGACATTTGTCTTAGTTTGATTCAGTCTCCGCACCTTTCCCATAAACTTCTACTCCATACTTCATTCACTTATCACTTCTTTTCCATCTGATCTCACTGTAACACTGTTTTAATTACCGATCTTTCTCAGATTTTAAGTTCCCTAAAAACTGACAGCAATCTATTATGTTCATTTCTATCCTTATTTCCAGGCATACAGTAGCTGCTCAAATTTGTTGATAGAAAAACGATTAAAGTTATTAAAATCAGAACTGCTGAAGAAATACTTGTTGATCCAACCCATCAACTAACTCCTCTGAGAGCATTTTTTCCTTTAGAATTATAAACATCTACTTAATGACCATTGTCTCACCTACTACATTATTGCTATTTATGTTAAGATAAAGCCACCAAAAAGGGAGGAAAGCAGCAAGTTTTCAGTAAGACAATACATTTAGAATAGAAATCCTAAAATGCCTTTCAAGTTAAAAACAAAATATCAAACAAAAAAAAACCATGTTAAATATTTGTGCAAGATACAGTCTTACCCCAGGATGTTTTAGTGCGCTCTAATTCTCTGAAATTCTTAGGATGGAATCCATAATTCTGAATATTCAATTATCCAGCATATAGTTTCTTATCTACCCAGGATAAAAAGGAATTTTGCTATATTCAAAATATGACTTTCTGCCTAAAAATATTCAAACTTTGTATAAAACTAAAGTTCTATAAAGAACAGAATATTAAAATAATTCAATTAAGCTAGATTGTTGGCAGCTACAGGAATAGGGTAAGATCTTTGAGTAACACAACTTCATGGCAGCATCAGAACCAGTCTGTTTCTTATAAATAACAGGAAGCTCCGTGACAATGATTTACATTATTATAAAGGAACACTGGATTGAGGAAAGAGATATTTGGTAGGTCACAGAGATGCTATACCCTAGAACCTGAACACAAAGACACATGAGGTACATGTAACAAACGACTAATTCATTACACTGTTTCTTTCAAAAGCAGTCTAACTATGACATATCCAAAACAGAATAACTACATAATAAAATAAACCTACAGACTAAGTTAATTAACACTTATAACCATATCAATCCTGGATTTTCAATTAAAAGCAAAATTTAAAAAATTCTTTAATACTTACAGGTCCCATAATTGTGGCTTGCCAATGAAACACTAGAAAAAAGAAAAAACAAAAACAAAAAACCTCTGATTATCATCTAAAAATGTGCAAGTTTTGAAATTAGTCATGAATAAATCAACTTGAAAGTTACTTACTATCATCCCCAACTGGACCTGCAGAACATTGTGCTGGAGGGTCACGGGCCAAATCACTAAGTTCCTACACCAAGACAGAAAATGATGGATCATGTAACTTAAGAAAACATGAGCAAGTGGAGAATCAACTGCTTCCAGTTACGTTTATCTCATTCTTTAAAAGGCATGCAATCACAACTCACATAAACAATACTTTCCATTAAGATAGAAAACTTAAGTAACCCTAGTCCAGTTCCTGGAATACAATATGCACAGTTGTCTAATGGACACATGTTAAGACAATCATCTTCACTAGGGCTCATGAAAGTATATACACATCTATATGAAATTTTTATTACATGAACAAAAGCTGATCTCTTACAAACCTAAATAGTTAGAATCAGATGCTTTCATAACTTAAGAATTTAGACAAGGAGGGGCTTGGCCGGTTAGCTCACTTGGGAGACCGTAGTGCTGGATAACACCAAGGACAAAGGTTCAGATCTCCATACCAGCCAGCCACCAAAAAAATAAATGTGTTATAACACCAAAGTCAAAGGCTCGGATCCCCATACCGACCAGCCACCAAAAAACACAGACACACACAGACACAAAATCAAATATATCTAAGTCCAGGAATTACTTTATCTCTTTTCTTGTATAAACATGGAAAATGATCAAGGGTAATGTTTGGGACTTAAGAGTTTGAACAAAAGACATGCGCGCACACGCACACACGCACGCACTCATATACTACAAAAGACCAAGCACTAGAAAGCAGAATAATAAATGCCTAAATAAAAAAGATATAATAAAAATTTGGCTAAAAGCAACAATCTACCACAATGCATGTATATATGTGTAACTTAAACATATTAATCTTCTTTCATATTAATCTTCTTTCTTTTAGTCTGCTAGAACAATTTATTCCCTGTAACTATAGGAATTAAATGGAAATAAATTTCCAAATTGGTAACATTCATATTTTTTCTTAAACTCTGACCTTTTGCTTTTTAGTGGAAAGTCAAGGACATAAAATGCAGAATATTTAGTTTAACCAGCGCCAACCCCCCATCACCCAAGAGTGCAGGGAATACGAAGAGGAATTAAAAATCTCAATTTAAATTCCAGAATAAATGCCTTATGGGAGAATGTAGGATTCTGAACACAAGAAATAACCAGTAACAAGTTGTATCCAGAAAACATATATACACACCCTTTTACTCTAGGATTCTAGAAAACCAGTTATTTTTCAGTTTCTTTACACCACTGCATAAATTGCCCTATTCTGCAGCTTACATATATGACTGAAAACATCTGTACATCCATCCAGCCATGTATTTATTGAACCTCCATGTACTTGACACTAGAGATAGAAAAATGAGAAGATTCCCAGCCCTCAAGTATTGAGATTTTACCATGTACTACGTGCTTTAAATGAATATATCAAAAATCATTTAACTTTTAACAAAAGTTAAAAGTACACAGCTTAAGACTTACTTAAAGAAGCCTGAATTGAAATTCCAATGGATTTAATGGTTTTCCTAAAGTAACCACTGATCCTTATTTTGGCTGGGAGAGTTCCCGTTTTCACCTATCATCCTGGCGCGCCATCTGGTTTACCTTTTGTCCCAGATATTTTGGTACGGTAGGTATTAATTACATTAAACCAAGCCAGAATGGGTTTAGAAGACCTTTACTTTGGAATTATTCTGGAATTTGCAGGGTCTGCCTTGGCCTCAGCTGCAAAAATGCACATATAAAATGCATGTGCAGTGAGCAGAGTTCTCTAACACATGACAAAATCTCAAAGACTAGAAAACCTCTCTTTTTGGTAGTCCTTTTTATACAAATGGTAACACCTCCTTCTTTTAAAGGACAGCATACAGGGCTCATGACAACAAAGCATGCCTAGATACTAAGGCCTTATCAGCCAACTCCTCCAACCTTGTGTGAATGACAAGTATGACACTGCTATTTCTGCTGGCTACTTGGTGTGTACCAATCAGGCATGTTATGGTAGTGACCTCTGGACTGAGAGTTGGCAGGTTTATAGGTAAACATGAGAAATTTACATGCACAAGAAATAGAGGTTGAGCAGCCCTGCCTTAAAGAATCAATGCTCTTGCATAGTGTAGCAACTATTATTTGGTAACATTGCATTCCTATATTAATTCCTTTTTTTTTCCTTTTTGTCTTTTTTCATGACCGGTAATGGGATCGCAACCCTCGGTGTTGCGCCTGCACCGCGCTCAACCAGTGAGCGGACCGGTCTCTATATGGGATACAAACCCTCGGCGGGAGCGCCACCGCGCTCCCAAGCACCGCACTCTACCGAGTGTGCCACCGGGCTGGCCCTATTAATTCCTTTTTAATTGTAAGTTATCTTGTGACTACATAAAAAAATAAGTAATGGCTGTTACTATGTTGACTCCAACAGAACAAGAACTTTGAATACTTTAATGCCAGTTTTATATCAGTTTTAGATGTTTCAAACAGATGATTTGACTCTCTTCGTTCACTACATGGAATCAAACCAAACTTTTCTAAGACCATTCTGTGAAGATGGAACACCTGACTTTACTGTGAATCTATTATAAAGCAAAATTAACAATGAAGATAAAATCATTTTAAGTTTGAATGGAACACAATGTTGAGGTAAAAATGGGCATAAAACTATGCTATCTACCCTAAGTGAATCATTGTGTAGTAGATGCATGTATTGATTGTGGTACATAATCAAAAGAAATGCAATGGTTGTCAAAAACTCACAATTTAAAAAAACATATCCTGAGTAGGTGGCTCTATGAAATGAGTGAAAAGCTGGTGCTGAATACTAAAAAAACCCAGCCAGTATTCTTTTTGCTGTCATCAGGATTTCAGAATTTAAAAAGTTTCAGGGTTTGAAGAACTACTATGTAAATTAATATTAAGAATCCCACTGATTTTTTTTTTTTGGGGGGGGTATAACTTGCAACAAATGCAAACTCTAAGTTTTGTTCAGAATCCGTTAGAAACTTTTAAAATAGGTACTCAAATGGAGTGGCAAAAAATTCAGCTTTCAGCAAATTGGAATCACTGAAAACACAGCTTGAAAACTGGAAGATGTTAAAATTCTCCCCTACAAAACTCAAGAACTGAACAAATTAAATGATGTAAGCCCCAACAGTATACAAGTTTTAACTGTGCTTTAAATATTTTAATTTGTGGGAAAGCTGTTTTGATGGAGTTCCTATTTTAATTGGGTAAGTTTGTATTTCTGTACCAGCATGGAATAAAACTGAAATGGTTTACACTTTGTTGGAACATTCAAATTTGGTAAAACGTTGAAAAGAATAAAGACTAATTACATGAAAGGTTTTTGTCTTGTAAGAAGTATTTGCTGAAGAAAAGTGATCTGAATGCAAATGAGAAAATATCTGGGCTAAATTAGTTGTGTATTTCAATATAGAAAAGAGAACTGAAACTATCCTCCATTTAACAGGATTTGCTCTGAGCTTATAAGGTATCTTTAGCTCCTACAGGGTATTTTCTCATTTTAAAAAAATTATAGTTTTACAAACTAGTCAATGGAGGGCATTAACTTAAACCTTATTAGCCTCGAAAAGTGCTACTTTCAGTAAGATAAAAATAAGAGTATCAGTGACTTCAGCAAAATAGCACTGAGACAGGGCTAAGAAACTATAAAGTACATAAATATGCATTTTGAATAGTTATTTTGCCTTTTAAAATGTTAAGATGATCAATACAAATTTTTCCTGCTTTAATAGTGTTTTTAAAAAATTAAGTTTTGAATACAGCGATTTAATAGGTACACCAAAAACCAACCCCCCCACCAAATTTGTTGATCAATAAACATATTTTAAGAAATTATAAAATTCAACAATGAATTTGTTGATTGACTCAATGTGGGGAAAAATAAAGGATGCTAAGATTTTTGGCCTGAGCAAACAAAGCAAGAAACTGGCATTAAGTAAAATGGACAACTTGTAGATGAAGTTTCTGGGCAGACAGAGAGATACATTAAGACCTCCAAGTGGAGAGTCAATTAGAAAAGCACATGAAAGTCTATGGTGGGGCAGACAGTCTAGGAACAAAACAAAACAAAAAAACAACACAGTAGATAAGTGCTAAGAATTGTCATCATACTATGAGATACCCTGCCAATTTACTTCTGAAACTCACCACAACTGCTTATCAAGTTACCAAACAGCCAGAGAACCCAAGATTCACAATTTCACGTTGGAAGATCAGATCAGACCTTTATGCTTGCCTATATAAATATAACCTCATATGTTCAACATATTCAAGAATGGGAGAACATTCACTCCAAATACTTTTGATTCTGATTAAGTAGAATTACAGAAATGTGTATTCCAGAATTAAACAATTTGTTAAAAGAAACTACGTGTGCTTATAGCTTTCAAAAAAATCTTACACACTAGATAAACGGAAACAACACTAAATAACTCTTAGCTAAATCAGTACTTAAAAAATACATTTTTAAGAGCAACATAAATTAATCAACTATCCACTATTCAGCAAACGACTTTTTAATAGGCCAGATCAAGTCTCGTGCAGCAATTATTTGCCAATTCCATGATTGCCCAAACTTACTATAATGGCAATCTACTTTAACACCCTCTAAAGGCATACATACGCTTTTCTATAGGTAAGAATCAGGCACAGTCTCATGAACAGAGAATTTTCCCATGTCCCAAAACTGGTGACCAAAAAAAAGATAAACCAGAAGCTAAAGAACTTGTGCAATCTAAACCCCTATGCTTAAGGAGAATAAGAAAAAAGGTATTTTAAGGTTGAACACCACTTACCTCTGAATCACGCTATAGCCCCTTTTCCCAACATCAAGGATAAAAATTGGAATTTTCAAAAATGCTATTAAGATCCAAATGAAATCTTACATATGAAACACAAAATCTCAAAGACAGCATTATGAAATAAAGACCCAATATGTGTGGTGGTGTACTTCAAAAAGTCAACGGAAAGTTTCATACTATCTTTCGATTCCATTTTGCCACAAACTTTTTGAAGTACCCCTGTAGTAGTTTGTGGTCTTACTCTTAA